ACCCCCACCCAGCTTCGTCTGCCTGTTTGTGTGCTGCCTGAGGCCGAGCCCAACAGTGTGGAGTAGGCTGGGTTGGCTCTGTTAGCTAGACATGGGGAAGTTCAGGTTGCGTTTCATATATAAGCCATGTTGAAAATTAGAAATTATACAATAGTAATAAAACAACCAACAACCATGAAATTCAATCTGAGCAAGATAAATACAAAGAGCTCAATAGTCGTCTAGAGTGATTGACAGCCTCTAACTTTGTACTAAAGTATGATTTAATTTAAAGGCCTCTCCAGACATGTGACATATATACAAATAGTTCGCTTTTGAACAATAATGTGTGTCTGATATGTTTTTTCCACAGAAAAAGTGTAATTTCCAAATTAAAATCCAGAAATTATCTACTCCTTCTACTCATTAAACTTTCCAGAATCTCTGAATGTGCAAATATTGTTTATTCTAAAGTTTTCCTGCTGGACACAAGATGTCTCCTCCTTACTGTAAACCACCCCGTCCTCCCCCTCCCCCTCGCCCCCTCCTCCACCCCTCTCATTACGGTCCTGTGGGGTTCCGCAGTAGTAGAGATGTGGAGTCCTTGTGTGAGCAGGGTTGCATTACTGATCCCAAAAACAGCTGTTGATCACATCTAGTCCTAAAGTAAAGAGGGGGGAGGCCCAATGTCGGTCTCACTCCAGCATTTTTTCTGTTCTTTTTTTTTCCGTTCTTAATATTATTTGTTTTTTGGGGTTATTGAACAACCAAAGCGCAGCTTCATATTTATGACAGGTCATCAGCTCCAACCTGAAGAATTAAGGTGAAGAGCATTTATTTAATGTTGAAGTTTTTATGATTTTTTTCCTCCCCTTTGTGTGCCCTTTATTGGTGTCCATTTGTTTTTGTTGTTTATGAGATAATTTCTTTTGATGTCTCTTGTCTTGTTCTGGCTTTATGCATCCTGCATGGCCTGAGCGTCAGCCTCGTCCCTGCCTTCTCCTCTTCTATCAACTCCTTTACTTCCTCTGTTCTTCCTCTGCTGCTTCTTTCTTCTCTCTGCTGTTTGTCCGGAGCATCCCTGAGCTCCGCTCTGCCTCCCCTCTGAATGAGCTGAACCAGCATGGCCTCCCTGCATCCTCTCTGCCTGTCTCTCCCACAGCACCGTTCCTGCTTCCTAAACCGCCCCCCTCCACTTTTGGTTTCCTCTCTACGCTTGTTTTTCCAGCTCTCACATGTAATATGAGTGTAAAACTTTTCATTCATCTACTCATCTCTTGATATCATGAATAACAAAGAACAATACATGAAAGATGTATTTATGGTTGAGCTGAGGGACCTACGTCATAATATGTAAGGCATAAAGCATAGCATTGAGGCTTTCAACTAACAAAGAGTATAGTACATGAAAACAACAGCGTCCATTTTGTCTCTGAGACCTCTCTGTCTTCTCACTTCCACTCTTTCTGGTTTAGACCACGGGGAGATGATGGAGATGCAGGGTTTTGGAGGCAGCCCGTCGTCGTGGCAACAGACCGAAGTAACCACTCACGAGTCGCTGTGCCAGTCCTGCTCCACAGCAGGTAGCAACATGGCGTTCGACTACCCGGCCGGCTGTACCTGCATACACGACCCATCAGACATCCACACGTACGTCCAGAGAATGAGATTTTATGACTCCAAAGAAGAGATTCTTGTCAGTGAATCAAATCCAACTCAGAACATCTTGGTAGAGTGAAATAACGTAGCTGTGGAGACTGGTGTGGGTGTTCCCGCGATGTTGCAGTAATTATTGACTTTGTCCATTAAGATAGTAATTGGGATTTTTAAATGGAGGCAGCATCTAATTCATCTATCCATTAGAGAAAATGCATTAAGGCACTTCAGTTATTGCTTCAGCTGTAGCCATGGCGGTGGTTCTTCATTAAAAGCAAATCTTTTTTCAAAATCCGTTTGTACATACAGACAGTGTGTTGGCATTGGCGATAATGGCTGACTTTTGTTCTTTCCACCAGTATTCCTCTTAAGATGCTCTGCCAGAACATGAAGAGGCAGATAGTCTCCAGAGCATTTTATGGATGTAAGTACAGCATGTTACCTCTGCAGTCTTCATACATTCATTTGTAGTTGTTTTTTAGAATATTCTAATTGTGACATTATTCGTGGTATACAACACATATTAACTGACTGGTTTCAAACCTTTTTCCTTAAGGAAGCTTTTTTCTCATTGAGTAAACTAAGTGACATATCTTATGGATATTGTGATAAAGTGTTTTCCACTGACAGACCCATACACACATCTCTTCTTTTACTTTCCTTCGCTCTTTTGGGAAGGAAAGAAAATTGCAAACTCTGGTTTTTAATTGTTTCATGTGCAAAATGCGACGCAGCAGCTTTTAGGCATGGTGCCACTAGGAACTTTTACAGCGCTTGTTGTTCTGACGAGAAGAGAGTGAGGTATGGCTGGAATCTGTAATGTGGCTTCCAGTTTATTTTTATGTTTTATTTTCCAGTTTTGTTTCAAATTGATTAAAAAATGATGTATGGCTTAATGCAACAGCTGCTCGATACAGTAATATGTTTGCAGTTTGTAATGAAATATCCCTCTGAATGTCAAACTTGTTATAAATTGCGGCGTAACATAATGCATTTATAGTGTTAATATATAAATATTCTTTTCAAAGGAGAGTTGTTTTTAATTACAGCATCAGTCTGAAGAGCTTATTGTATCAGTAAAAGTTAGTCCGTTTATGAACCTCAGTATATAACAATACAAACTGTAGTTATTAAATAAAAGCAGGTTCACACAATATCCCAAATAAAATACAGCACTTAAATAAAATAGCATGGTAGGGTTTCAACATTTTAGGCTTGTGTGCAACATAGCTAAGAATGTGCTGTTCCTGTAATTAGTGTTTAAAGATCATTTAAATTGTATTCAAAGTTTACATGAATCTGTTGAGTTTGAGGACATATTAGTGCTTTTTGTTATTTCTGTATGTAACATCACCACAGACGTTCAGGTGGTGCATGACCGTCTTCCTTGTCCAACCTGTGTGAAACAGGTTTCTCAACTGAAAATAAATCAACACTGATGTGTGTAGATGGTGCTGAATCCTCAAATCTGAGACAAATCTGTGACAATATAATAAAACGTGTGACTTTACCGATGCTTGGTCTCAGCCGTGTGTCTATCCCTGTCTCACTCGTCCATCAGGGCTGGCCTACTGTCGACACCTGTCCACTGTGCGGACTCACCTGTCAGCTCTGGTCAACCACAACATCGTCCCTCCAGACAGACCCTGCGAGGCGTCCGGGGGCCTCAGCAAAGAGGTGTGGAGCAAATACCAGAAAGACTGCAAGGTGGGTACAGCAGTGAGGCTGAAAGAGTAATGAAATATAGGAGCGTGATTGAGATCTCCTGCAAGCAGGAATTACAACAACATGGCAAGAGTCTTAATCTTCCTCCTGCACCATCTAACACCCCTCCACCCCTTCACCTACAGGCCAGTGAAATTAAAAGCCAGAAATCACTGCATATTGCCAAGTCAACATTGAGTCATTGGTATTGATTGAGCCCCGGAGATAAATCATGGTCATTTGACAGAATTATGAGGAGACCCCCTAGTTGGGAACCACAGTAATATGTTAAACAGAATTTTATCAGAATGTACTATTCTCTATATTATAGGGCTCACAGGTTTCCACCATCAGGTTGTGTGTCTCTATGTTTTGCCATATAGAGACAATTCAATTCATGTTACAAGTGATTTCTGAATGCCAACACTGTTACAAATGTCACATGTGTGAAAGTGACAGTTTGGTGTACTGTGGCCTACAACAAAAATACAGTAAACTTTTTAGAAATGATACCCTTAAGGGTTAGAGTTGGGGTTAATTGTGCTAACCCTAATCAGCATCTCACACCAACACAACTAGGTGATGCAGCCAGCCACACTCCATTGACAAAACCAGAACTTTTACTTAGCAAATAATCATAAAACACACTTCAAAACTGACACAAAAAAACAACAATCACCCACTCTGGTTTAACCCATAATTCACAGAGTTAGATGTGAAAATATTTGTGAAATGGGCTGCAACGTAAGTTACAAATGCGCCTGCATAGTACATCCACTAAAAGTGCCTGTTTTTGCCACTGACCATTCTCAGTGTCTGACAAGACCAGAAACAGTCATTGTATTGCCATTGCTTGCCACCAGAATCCATAGATAAATGTTAGCTAATTTCACCTCATATATCACACACAATGTAACGTCATAACTTTTGAAAGTGGACACAAGCGAAATAAAACTCATCAAAACAGTCTTTGTTAGTCTTTCCACTGTTTCAACAATCATCAGCTCTAGTCTGGTCGAAATAAATCCTTAATTCACCGACACAGATGAGAAAAACAGCAGTTTCAGTCGCTCTACTCAGCTGCACACAGAGACTCCCATGCACACATGGACAGACCTGTTTGTAACACAACAGACAGACTGGGATAACAACACAGGCATGTGACGTCTTGCAAATAGTTTGCTGCTATAATAATGTTTATATCATTATTATTATTATAACTGCCTGTCACTGTTGTTTCGACTAGCAACTGATCCTCTTTGCGGCAGTTTATCCTTTTATAAATCTTCTATCCCTGCCACACTTAAAAAATAAAACTGATGAAATTTAACAATTTGTTGACCAATCCCATGTCCAAACCCAATCCAACAATCAGTGTATTTACTAACGTATTAGGTAGAGTATCGTGTCCGTATTACAGCCTGATATGTCTTCCTCTGTGCCATAGAGATCCATCCTTGTCCAAAAACTATTAAAAACACATCAATGAGCCACAGCTGATTTAGGAATTTGGGCTTTTTTTTTTTTTTAGAAAATGAAGCTATCATTGTTTTTATTTATTTACATTTACATTAATTACAAATCTGTGGGCTTGCTGCTGCAATTTATGCACCCCTGTTTAGACATAGGTGACAGAAGTATTTAGATCATTTTCTAAAGTAAAAGAAGCGATACTTTAATGTTTACATAGGTGCAAACATATTAGCAGGAAAATGTGATATACGACGTGTACACTGTACCGAGTGTTATGTTATAATATTTATTTTATTATTGGATCTGTGTTGCATCAGTCCTTTGGGTAGATTAATGCAGTATTTCTCAAATGGGGATATGTCTGTCTGTCTGTCTGTCTGTCTGTCTATCTCTCTATCTCTCTATCCATGCTCTATTCTTACAAAAAAGTACAACATCAAAAAGACAGTTCATTGAAACTCTGTCTTAGTGTTACTGCATAAAGACAAAAAAGGTTGAATCAAGGGCAGTATATAAATTAAACATTTTGATAAACACTGGATTAATGCAGTTATTTTTCATATTTTGATATAAGATATAAGAATCTAGAATGTAACTAATAACTATAGCTGTCTCTGATGTAAAAAATACAATATTACCCTTTGAAATGTTATGTTAGACATAAAAGGTTGCATTTGACGGAAATACCCACGCAGCCTAACTTTCCTCCACTGTATGGAGCACTCCGAGACCATACAGCCATATGTAATATTCTGTTTTACTTCCCTATTCTTGCTTTAATTGTCAGAGTTCATTAAACGTCTATTCACAATGCCAATTGTGTTTAAACATCATAGAACTTTTATTTAACTTTATAATTGAGCTTCAGTTACCTCTTAGTTAAATGTTTCTATTATTTCGTCCTCCTCTCGTATATAGCATATCCCCCTTTGCTGTATATTAATTGTAAGTCATGGATCACACACTCCTCCTGCAGTCTACAACCCTCTCCACTCTCTCCTTCACTCCAATGAAAATTTAATGAGTTTCAGTGAAATTAAGTCTCATTACAGAGTGCAGTATGATACCATCGCAGCTATTAAAGCAGCCACTGTAATCATTCATCAACTCCAACAAAGTCATCATTACTAATTTACACTCTATTCATATCTTTGTCCTTTATCTTCTACACTCATCTGTCTCCCTCTGTATGGATCACAATCACTCTTTCTCTTCTTCCATTATTCATGCACTTCCTCTTGCTCCTTTCACCACTCACACCAGGCTTCTTCTTCCTGTCATCTATCTTCTTTTGGTTTCTATTCCTATAAACCTTTCTCTCTGTGTGTGTGTGTGTTCGTGTGTAGAACTATAAAGAGCTGGAGCTGCTAAGGTTGGTTTATTATGGCGGAGTGCAGCACGACATCAGGAAGGAGGTCTGGCCTTTCCTGCTGGGGCACTACAAGTTCGGCATGGGCAAAAAGGACATGAGCCAGGTACAGCATAAACACACACATATATACACACACNNNNTTAATTTGAAAAGCAATTGCCTAATTTTTCTCCTGTGAAGATTGACGCGAAGATCAGCGAACGCTACCAGCAGGTGATGCGGGAGTGGAAGGCCTGCGAGGTGATTGTCAAGCAGAGGGAGAAAGAGATGCAGTCGGCCATCTTTGCCAAGCTCTCCTCGGGTAGCAGCATCGACAGCCACGTCCTGCGACTCGTTCACAGAGACTCCACACTCAGCAACGAGGTGAAGAAACCCAACACAATGTGACATCCATCCAACAAACAACTTCTTTTCAGTTTAGTTTTATTTATATAGCTAGTATTTAGATTGATATATTTCATTATTACACACTGTGCCTTAGATTTTATTCCTTCAGCAATAGGAATATGTCCAATAACCAGCTGATAACGTATAACAATACTACATCAGTAGTAACTTCACAATCTTATACACTTAAAGGTGAAATCAGTTTTATACATTAAAATCTTCTACTTAGTCAGTGAAAACAGTTGTATATTGTCTTCTGAATCTCTGGAGGATGTATATTAGGTTTGAGAAAATAACCCTGATGATTTCATACTGAAATGAAATTTCATACTGAAATCATCAAGGTTATCGACTGTCAAGGTTTATTTGCATAAGGTTGCGTCAGAATTATTATCGTGAGCCACCGGATTCAACCGAAGAAAACAAATCTTATCGTCTTGACAACCTCAGAGAGGTTCACAGTGTATAAACACACATTCACTAATGAGGGTGAGCTAATAGAAGGTTAGATGGAGGCAGATGACAGAAACACTATTCGGCCCTTCCTAAGACCCTCCCCTTTTTTTGCTCTCCTCTCCAATAATAGTTCAGCAGGCGCGGACAGAACCTCGGTCAACTTTTCCTTTCTCCCTTTCCTGTACTTTCAACATAGATAACACATAGCATATCTAAGTACAGGAAAGGAGAAAGTTGACTGAGGTTCTTACTGCAACAGCTTGCTCAGCTGTTACTGGTGCACAGAGCAAAAAGGGAAGGAGTCAATCTAGAAATTATATTTCATGATTTTAATGGTAAAATCATAAACCATATGATTTATGATGCCAAACCCTGCATCACTGCCCTTCCTCTATCACTTCTAAAGTTCCATCCATCTTCAGGTGTTTATGTCGGTGGACGAGCCGGACGCAGGGAGCCAGGAGACCCCCAGTGGAGAGGACAGTACCCCCACCATGACCACCCTGGTTCCCCCTGCAGCCCTCCCGCCAGAGGAGCGCCCCCTGGTGGAGTTTGACTCTCCCGACTCGGGCCTGCCCTCCTCCAGAAACTACTCAGTGACCTCTGCTCATTCCCAGATCCTGTCCAGCATAGACGACGGTCAGAGTACGGAGGAGGAAGGGGGGGGCGGGGAGGAGGGCAGGACTCCGGGTGTGCTGGGCGGGCGTCAGGACTCTCTGACTGAGGACAGGCTGTGCAGCCAACTGGACAAACTGGTGACCAATGGAGCAGCTGCAGAGGGGATATCACCTTCGCTTTCCTCATACACGGTATGTATAGTATGTGAAAGAACACTTTGATTTTCACGTTATGACTCTCTAATGTTAACAAAAGTGTTTCCTTTGTCCAGATCGAGCTGTTGGACACAGTTGCCCTCAACCTCCACAGGATAGACAAAGATGTGCAGCGCTGCGATCGCAACTATTATTACTTCACCCCAGCCAACCTGGAGAAACTACGAAACATCATGTGCAGGTACTGTATGTGACATACTGGTGGTGAACATAGTGGAGCATTTAGTAGCAACAGCGCAAGAGATATTTGTCTGCTGCTGTTGGTGTAGAGCAAAATACAGCTAAAAGAGAGTATATTACCTACAAAGACATATAAGACCATCAGGGAGTAGATTGGCTGTTTCTATATAGTTATTCTTAATGCATGTCACCAGGTCGTATTTACCCTTGAAATCAATTAAACAAGGCAGTAGAGACACTGTCGCTTTTGTCCACAGGGGCCGCCGGAATCAATACAAAATCATAGTTGCTTGTAGGGACTTTATGTAAACATACAGTATACTATATGTATACTACAAGCAAAAAATAGTCATTTTATTATCTTATCTTATTGATACATGCAGTTTTTCAAATTTTAAAAAGTAAATATATTGAGTTCTATTCCACCACTGGAACACAGCCCCAAGCGCCTCCCACCCACAGTCTAACATGTACATTAAGTTGAGTTGAATGGGATTTGTTTATCTTGTTTGTCTCCTTCTTGCCTGCAGCTACGTGTGGGAGCATTTAGAGATGGGCTATGTTCAGGGCATGTGTGACCTCCTTGCTCCGCTCATGGTCATCCTGGATGATGGTGAGAAGAAAGAATCATTATACAACTGTATAAAATTATTGTAGATAGCACAGATGAAACAGAAACCCAGTAGCCATTACATAACTGAGACTAATACACTTCTTTTAATAAAATGAATAATAAATAAACTTCCCTTATGCATTAAAAATGTAATAGCAGCAATGTGCGGTTTTATGGACAAACGTGAAGTTTAGTTATACAGTAATCAAACACAAGGAGGACTGTTTGAGCTACATACACAGCAGTTACAGTGGGCTGGTGAGGTAGATTTCCTTCATAATTCATATTACTGTGACATTAAACTGTTTGTGTCAAAGGTTGTGTCAGCCAACCCTGCATGTACAGCAAATAGACACTCATTTATAAGTTCATCCATGTTAATATTATTTGTTGCTGAAAAAAATATTCAGTTTGTTAATGTGATGGGTGTTTGTGAGAGGGACAGTTTTAGTGCTGTGCTCACTACATTACCCTGTTCTTCCTCCTGTGTGTGTGTCAGAGTGCCTGGCATACAGCTGTTTCACTCAGCTAATGAAGAGGATGAGTCAAAACTTCCCTAATGGCGGAGCCATGGACACACACTTTGCCAACATGAGGTCACTGATCCAGGTGATGGGTAACTCTTACTGTGAGTGTGTGTGTGTAAATGGTAAATG